ATATTACGCAGTTTTAGCACACAAACAAAATTTAATACAAATATAAGAGAACTGTTGTTATTGTCATTGTTGTCAAATTTTAAAGATACAAACTTTATAAACTTTGTCCCAGAATTTTCAAAGAATTTGATGTACATAGGAACTTATTTCCATTTAGTGTTTCATAAAAAAGGAAAGTCTTTTGATCTAACAAAGAATCATAAATACCTGCCTTAGAATGATAATTACCATAGATAATTTAGTATCTTTGTTAAAATCTGGATTTGAGTTCTTGCATGCCAGGCAACTATCCTTGAGATAGTGTGCTGTCACGCTTTCCGGATATCTTGTTTCCGCCAAGACCGGTCTTGTTATATACGTCTGGGATTCAGCATGGCCGGAGCTGGTGCAAATGTGGGTTGTGTTAACCCTTGTTGTTTTTTGATGTTTTGATACCTGTGAGGTGCCACAGCGATGTGAGTGTTAATATGTGCATATGTCTAATGTGTTAAACAACTTTTTTCATATTTTGTAATGATATTTTCCATGTGTTTAAATCTGTTGTCATTTTTGATAGAGGAAATTCGGGCTGATTATTTGTTCTTGTTTACCATTGATCTTAAGCCAAGTCTTTGTGTTTATACAGTGTTTGCATCTATTGTCAAAATTCTTCTAAGTAATTTAGGCCTGTATTTCATAGTGTATTCAAAATTGATGAGGTCATTTTTGTGAAATTATGAGTGAATATTATTTGTAGAGAAAGCTGAAATTTATTGTCTATTTCAATTTTATTTTCAGTCATTTACCTCTTGTGAAGCCATTATCAGAATAAAGTCTTCAACACTACACATGGTTTCGAGGTCATTAATCCGCAGTTGCACCTGTCTGGGACTGAGACTGCACAGTAAATGAATCGCTTCTACACGGATCAGGAACATTCTACCTGAGGCTGGGCCTACCATTCCCACTTCCCTTGGACAGTGGCGTGCGGACCATACCTACCTGGAGAGGCATCCAATCCTGTCGGTTGCGTGGGACATTGCGTTACATGTCGAACATTCTGTATACATTCCGTTACATGTAGAACATTCCATTATATAGTACAATATTCTTGGACATGAACTATTGTCATGTATAACTGTTAATATTCAGTGGCTTTATGCATTTTCAATTGTACGTATATGGTCAAACAATTTGGTGCTACAGGAATGTGATATGTCAATAAGTAGGATTGCATTTTTCTTAAGCATGCTTTGAAAATTTGTGCTGTAATTATGTAGCAAAATAATGCTTGAGTAGATATTTGAATTTTATCTTGCTGCGAACTTGACGACAATCATTTTTCTGTCAACTGTCAATATCAGACTTGTGTACTGTGAAAGAAAATTTATTTTTTCAATTGTACATGTGTACAGCATTTGAAACATTATTGTGTGTACTCTGAAATGTTTATGCTCATTTAGAAGGGTGGTCATTTTTCGTATGTATAGATTACATCATTTAATTAATATTGAAATGCAAAGATAAGTGTATTACATTGACACAAAATGGCTGATAAAGACAGTAGTACTATAAGCAGTATTAAAGTAGAGGATCATGATGAACTTCAGGGCAAAAGTAGAATTAAACAAAAACAGAAAAAGGCCAAGCCCTATATGAGGACACTGTTAGGAAATATCTTAATAATTGTGACGCTGTTTGGTCTGACATTGAAGATATAACAGTGAAAGTTGACGAATATAGATCACAATCTGACTTTAAATCTTTAAGACATTTAGATAGACAACTACAGGCATTACAAGTGAAACACCGAGAGGAATCCGAAGATTTTGTGGCCTACCTTACACGTACAAACACTGTGGACAGTTTATCGGAGTTAAGGATTCAAGAACTTTTAAAGGTCAAATGTCAGGACATTATAAGGGAATTGTGTCGGAAAATTCGGGAGGCGAGAATTGATGCCACAGAGAGACTGTCTCAAAGAGTCTCTGCAAGCCTACACACAAGGTCAGAGGTCGGAGAAACATCGGTGATGGGCAGCATTCTGACACAGAAGAGGATGGAGGTGGAGGTTCACCGAGCCAGACTACAATATGAAGCCAGAGAATTAAAGTTACGAAAGCAAAAGGCGTCGTTGGAGGAAATGGAAGCCAAGCACAAAGCAGAACAGGCTCGACAGAAGGAGGATTTAGATGCCGAGTTTCTCCTATTAGAACAGGAACGCAAGTTCGCAGTAGCTGAAGCAGAAGTGAAAGCACTTGAGAACACAGGAATGAATAATAGGCGTGTTTCTCCAGTATCGTCATTGCTGGAAGAACCAGTTGACAAGACACAGCTAACAGCAAAGTATATTTATGAGAGCTGCCCAGTGGAAAATGTGGTAAGTGCTGCGTTGCCAGTAACCGTTGAACCACCTTCGACAAACCCTGAATATAATGAACACAGAAGCTCGTTAAACCCTCATGCAGCTCCCTTTGAACTTAATGAAGTGAAACAGACTCATGATAGCAGTGTTGTTGGAGATCTTACCAAGTTCTTGTTGAAGAAGGACCTTCTATTTTCACGGTTTTACAAATTCAGTGATCGTCCCGAGGTCTTTGCTACATGGAAAGCAAGTTTCCTTAGCATAACGCAAGAACTAGAAGTTACGCCCTTTGAGGAAGTTGATTTACTGTTAAAGTTTCTAGGACCGGAGTCAAGTAAGTTTGTTTCAAGCATACGGGCTGCAAATGCTGCTTATCCAGAGAGAGGCTTAAAACGTATATGGGAGAGACTGGAGGAACGTTACGGGTCACCGGAACTCGTTGAGTCAGCCCTGAAAACCAAGCTGGAACATTTTCCGCGATTAACGACAAAGGATAGTAAGCGGCTTTATGAACTGGCAGACATACTAGCTGAGATTGAGGCAGCCAAGGAAAACCCGAAATATGCTACTCTCCTATCCTATTTTGATTCGTCATCAGGTATTCTACCTATAATCAACAAGCTTCCATACAACTTGCAAGAAAAATGGACGAATCATGCTTCAACCTATAAAAGGAAATACGATGTGTCATATCCTCCTTTCACATTCCTAGTTCAGTTTCTTCAAGAAATGAGCCGCATACGCAACGACCCAGGTTTCCAGTATGATGGTCAGTTTAAACCAAAAAGTAAGGAGCATGTGACATCTGTTGCGAACAGTAGTAGCAATATCAGAGAGCGTGTGTCAGTGAGAACAAACAAGACTGAATTTGTGACAAAGACTGGTAAAGAACTTTCGCAGGTTTGTGTGATTCATGCAAACAGTCATACACCTCATTCGCTTCAGGATTGTCGTGTATTCAATTCTAAGACGATTCCAGAACGCAAGAAAATGTTGAAAGAAAAAGGAATCTGTTTTCGCTGCTGCAGTGCAAAACACATGGCCAGAGATTGTAAAGTGAACATAAAATGTAGTGTATGTGGAAGTACAGAACATTGTAGTGCACTTCATCCCATTGATGTCAAGGTCCGAGATTCGCACAAGGAGCATGGCGGGGAGAAACTTGCTGTAGACTGTACAACAACAGATTCTATGTTTCCAGTTTCAGCCTCATGTTTACAAGTTTGTGGGAAACAATTTTCTGGTAAATCGTGTGCCAAAATGTTGCTTGTTAGAGTTTACAGATATGGAGAACGGGAGAAGGCTGTTGTCATGTATGCATTAGTCGACGATCAGAGTAACAGGTCGTTAGCCCGTAGTGAATTCTTCGATAAGTTGAACATTTACTCTGAACCAAGGAGCTACACAATAACTTCCTGTTCTGGTACAGTACCCACTTATGGACGGCAAGTTAATGGGCTTGTAATCGAATCTTGGGATTCAACACAAACATTGAATTTGCCTACCATAACGGAATGTGATAATATCCCTTGTAATCGGGATGAGATAGCAACACCGGAAATCGCGCAACACTACCCTCACCTTGTAGATATTGCGTCCGATATTCCACCTCTGAATGAGGCGCCTGTATTACTTTTGCTGGGACGGGATCTGGTGGAAGCACATCATGTTTTAGACCAGAGAGTTGGCAGCTGCTCGCCTTATGCCCAGAAGCTTCCATTAGGCTGGGCCCTAATTGGAGAAGCCTGTTTGGATAAGGTCCATGTCCCAGATGAATTCTGTGTAAAGAAGACACATTTAGTTGGAGATGGAAGAACTTCCATTATGCCTCCATGCACAAGCAGTTTCACATACAGTGAAGGTCATGGACTGGGCTCCAGAAAACCAAATGACTTTGGAACCTCACTTTTTGAGCGCACAGCTGATGATGATAAACCGGGTTTATCAATAGAAGACAGAGAGTTCCTAAGGATTATGGAGGCGCACTGTAAACGGAATGAAGAAGGAAGCTGGGTTTCCCCACTGCCATTTAGAACTCCTAGAGATAGATTACCAGATAACAGAGCAGTGGCATTGAGACGTGCTAGGATCTTGAGTAAAACCTTGGACAGGAATCCTGGCAAGCGAGATCACTTTCATGCCTACATGGAAGGGATATTGGAAAGGCATGCGGAACTAGCCCCACCCTTGAAGCCCTCTGAGGAATGCTGGTATTTGCCAATATTCGGGATCTACCACCCAAAGAAACCATCAAAGCTGAGGGTCGTATTTGATTCTTCAGCAAAGTTTGAGAACACGTCATTGAATGATGTCTTGCTCTGCGGACCGGACTTGACCAATAGTCTTGTTGGTGTGTTACTCCGTTTCCGGAAAGGTGCAGTTGCTATAGTAGCAGACATTGAGCAAATGTTCTTCGGATTCATTGTCGCAGAGGAGCATAAGAATTATTTGAGGTTTATGTGGCATCGTGATAATGACCCCAGTAAGGAACTTACGGAATACAGAATGTGCAAACATGTCTTTGGAAATGCACCATCTCCAGCCAGCAGATGTAGGGACTAGAGGAGTTCTGGCCAAGAATCTAAAAGACTGTCAATGGTGGAAACCTCCCTTTCAAGTTTCCTTTTCCAAGCAGGACATAGATGAAAGCTTTCAAATGGTCAAACCTGATGATGATGTGGAAGTCAGACCTTGATTACAGCAATGAAAGTAGAAGAAACAGAAAATTCTTCCTATAGCCCATCCTCTTGGGAGAAAAGGTTCTGTAAATTTTCCTCATGGGAAAGGCTTGTTCTTGGTATGAGCAGGCTTAGAAAACATTTCATATAAGTCACACAACTGCGAAGGAGTTTAGTGCCACGGAACTGCTGATCCTAAAGATTGTCCAGAAAGCTGTCTTCGGAAAAGAGATCCAGAGTCTGACTAGTGGTAAAGCAGTACCTAATGACAGTCCATTGTCTTCACTCTACCCATATATTGATGAAGAAGGAGTACTTAGAGTAGGCGGACGGCTAAAGAACGCTAACCTTGGAAGAAACATGGAACATCCAGTCATTGTTTCTAAGAGCTCACATGTTGCAGTATTGCTGGTTAGGCATTACCATGAAAAGGTACATCATCAGGGGCGGCACATTACAGCAGGAGCATTGCGCACTGCGGGGTTTTGGATCAAAGGTGCTAGAAAATTGGTATCTTCCATTTTACACCAGTGTGTTACCTGCAGGAAACTCAGAGGACAGTTACAGACACAAATCATGGCCAATCTTCCTTCTTGTCGCCTACAACCAGTTCCACCATTTACCTACGTTGGAGTTGACACGTTCGGACATTTGAATGTTGTCAGTAGAAGAACACGTGGTGGAAGTGCAAATAGTAAAAGATGGGCAATCATGTTCACATGTCTCACCGTCCGGGCAGTGCACATCGAAGTTGTGGAACAGATGTCAACGTCCGCCTTCATAAATGCATCGCGCAGATTTGTTTCCATTAGAGGCAAAGTACTGGAGTATAGGTCAGACAGAGGAACCAATTTTGTTGGATCTACATCTTCAAACACAGTTGCTGTAAACGTTGAGGATCCAGCCGTTCAGAAGTTCCTCCTGAGCGAAGGAAGCACATGGATTTTTAACCCACCTCATTCGTCACATTTCGGAGGCGTTTGGGAACGCATGATAGGTGTGGCCAGAAAGATCATAGATGCTTTACTACTGGAGAATTCTGCAAAGGAGCTAACCCACGAAGTTCTGGTCACCTTTATGGCAGAAGTTTCCATGATCATCAATTCTCGCCCAATAGCACCTGTATCGTCAGACCCAGAGAATGCAATGATTCTCTCGCCGAATGTATTGCTCACACAGAAAGAGGGAGATGAAGTACCACCTCTTCGAGACTTGGACCTGAACATTCGAGACATGTTCAAATCCAATTGGAAACACGTGCAGGTCTTAGCGGACAGATTTTGGAAAAGATGGAAAGATGAGTACTTACAGAATCTGCAATCCAGAAGAAAGTGGAAGACTGAGAAGGAGAATTTACGAGAAGGAGATGTTGTCATGCTAAGAGACAAAGATATGAACAGATGTGCTTGGCCATTAGGGTTGGTGGAAGAAGCAATCCAAAGCGAAGATGGAAACGTTCGAAAGGTGAAAGTTAGAGTCATCCGGCAAGGACGCCCAGTGGAGTATTTTCGACCAGTCACAGAAGTGGTCCTTCTCTACGCTCCGACTAATGAGTAGTGACTAGTCTAGTCAGGCGGGGAGTGTGCTGTCACGCTTTCCGGATATCTTGTTTCCGCCAAGACCGGTCTTGTTATATACGTCTGGGATTCAGCATGGCCGGAGCTGGTGCAAATGTGGGTTGTGTTAACCCTTGTTGTTTTTTTGATGTTTTGATACCTGTGAGGTGCCACAGCGATGTGAGTGTTAATATGTGCATATGTCTAATGTGTTAAACAACTTTTTTCATATTTTATAATGATATTTTCCATGTGTTTAAATCTGTTGTCATTTTTGATAGAGGAAATTCGGGCTGATTATTTGTTCTTGTTTACCATTGATCTTAAGCCAAGTCTTTGTGTTTATACAGTGTTTGCATCTATTGTCAAAATTCTTCTAAGTAATTTAGGCCTGTATTTCATAGTGTATTCAAAATTGATGAGGTCATTTTTGTGAAATTATGAGTGAATATTATTTGTAGAGAAAGCTAGAAATTTATTGTCTGTTTCAATTTTATTTTCAGTCATTTACCTCTTGTGAAGCCATTATCAGAATAAAGTCTTCAACACTACACATGGTTTCGAGGTCATTAATCCGCAGTTGCACCAGTCTGGGACTGAGACTGCACAGATAGGTTATCCAATTATGATGTAACCAGTAAAACTAAATTACTAAAGAGCATCACTCTCTACATCTGCATATTGTATCATCTTTCTACATTTCAGAGAATGAAAAGATTAAGAAGATGGTTTAGCAGACATTTTAGCTGTGTAGGAGGAAAATCCACGATACATGAAGTAAGTTGGTTTTATTTTTTCTGTGGCTTTCTCAGTCACATCCCGGACATTTCTTTACTCTTTATCTGTTCTTGTTTTCGTTCAAAAATAGGTAGTTGGATAGTTGGTATTCAAAATAAGGCTAAGCGATCATAGAATAATAGAATTTTAAAGTAAATACTAGTGTATTGTTATCCAGTAATTCTTAGAATTTTGACATTGCTTTGGAAAAAAGAGATGTTTCAATATTATGTAGCATTTGTATAGATAATTGAAGAGCTAAATCTCTTTAACAATCGTTCTTTTTATCACTTTTCTCTAGTTTGCCCCCCCCCCCCTCTCTCTTCCATGTATAAATTGTTTATAATACAGTGTTTTTTTTTTCTTTTTTAGTTCTGAAGAGGACATCAAACCCACATTTACAGATTACTTTATTAATAAAGTTTAAAATAGAATCATTAAGTTTTTTTTTTTTTACAGTTCTGTCCATACTGTATATAGAAGAAGCTTTTAATATATATTAATTTTAAATAAGCAAACAATAGAGAATATTCAATGTTTTGTATCGAATAAAAATGTAATAAATTGCATTATAAAATATTATTGATTTTTAGTTATAAATTTTGCTTATAACTAATTTGAAAGAAATAACTAGATGTCTTCCAGAAAAAAGTAAATTTTTTTTTACACATTCTCCGAGCCATGAGAATCATAAGGCTAGTGCTTATACCCATTTTCTGTGGTAAGAAAATGAGAGTCCTGGACTTCCCCTAGATGGGGCACAGATCCATCGCACGTTAACTCCCAGTGCTTGAGCGAGCTGCTGATGTCACATAATATTTTGTCCACCTCATTTTAAGGTCTGGAGGCACCAAATAGAATTGCATATACGGTGCGCTCTACCTCTATGATAAAAGGTCCGCCTTCAGACATGCCTACCCTTTTTATTGTAGAGGTTTAATCTAAAGCCTTAATTTAGTGGAATTTCAGAGGCATATCCATAATCTTCCGATTTCTCCTATGTTGAGGTTTTAATGCGTGTAAAGCTATAACCTAAACAACTTTGTATAAAGAAAGTAAAATCGTTTTATATTTGACATAAATTCCAATTATATTCGTAACATCCAGATAAGCTTCCGTAAACCGTTATGAATTAATTGGTCAATTGCTTGCAATTTTTAAACTGTCACCCGTGTGGAGCAGTGGTAGAGCGTTTGCTCTAGAGTCGCGGAATAAGGAAATGATCCTTACGTGGCGGGTTCGAATCCCACTGTGGGACGTGGAGATCGGTCTTTCGGATGAGACCGTATAAACCGAGGTCCCGTGTCGCAGTAGATGTTGGCACGAAAAAGATCCCTCACTGCTCAATGGCCCTGAGTGCCGAGTATAGGTCAAAATTTGCAGCTCTCCACCGGCAAGTTGTGGCGTGTCCATATGAGTGAAAAACTCTCGAAAAGGACGTTAAACAATAAACAAACAAACAAACAAACAAAACAATTTTCAAACTAAGTCATTACACTTATCATATATCGTATGGTATATCGCACGTTTAGCACCCATCATAGGATACCAGGTATATCAGAGCTTACAATTCTGTTAGAGCACAGTTCAATGAATGTAATAAACGTCAATGAACTACATGGAAATATTAAATAATGCAATAACGCATAAAAATTTCAAAGCGTACATTTGATTGTTTTGGCGTAACAGCGTGTTTTAGTTGAAAAGTGTTGAAATTGGCTTAAATATGAGTTGAACATATGAATGTGCTTAATTATGAAAACATATGGCATGATGAAGGACCCTCTTCATTGATAAAACGGTGAATAAAGGAAGGTCCTCATTCTGAACATATCGTTATATAAGTATACGACATCATTGATAACCTTTGTGAAATACATAAAACTGATAAGGAAAGCTTGTTGAGTGCGTGCTCTTGTTTGTGAATGAACAAATGGTCACGGATAAGACACCAGAAGAGTATATAACTGAATTGAATTCTATCCAAAGAGCATTCGGAGTTTTGCTACAACAAAATGTTCAAACTTCTCTTTGTATTTGTCTGTCTTTCGTTGGTGTTCTCAGGTAGGTTTTCTTTTTAAGTTATAATGCATTTTTTAAAATTTAATTTTAAGATCTCAGATTAACTCAATCGATTCACAATCAAGACTTTTTGCATTATACCATTTTAATTATCAAAGAATAAAACGATAGGAACTTTAAGATATGAGTGAACAGAGTTCGTTCTTTTTTGACATTGATGACTGCACAAATGTATAAGAAGCTTTTGTTGCACAAAGTTCTATGACGTAACGCTATGTTGATACTTGTATTTCAAATAAGCTACAAGCTTTCTTTTAGATTGCTCAAAATCCATTTAATATCAAATAATATCAATTTCATATATTTCATCCCGACTTTCTATGTCAGTTTTCAGCCGTCATTCTTTTCTACAAATGTAAATGAGATTTTATCATATGATGTATGGTATTTTTTGCTTAATCTTTGTCATACTAAGTTAAATCCACATTATATTCTTTTAGCGTTAAGAGCATTGAGCTTTCTATGGAAAGTCAAAAATCTGATTTTTTTAAAAATAGTGTGTATGGATTATTTCTGCCACAAATAACAAGAAAAATACAAAATTAATGATTTTAACCATAATCACTGAGTCGTATCCAAGGAGAAACATTTCCTTAGTTACCAGAACAATTTTTCACATTCAAAACGGGCAGATACTGACATAATTAAATGTATTTTTCATGCAAATGTTCTCAAAAGATGGTTAAGAACTATCCATTTTATAAAGATGACTAAATTGATAGTTCTACTTTGCCTGATTAAATTGTATTAAGTTCTTCTGTTGCGTTGCTATGGCAATGAAAAAAAGTGACAAGTTTAGCATTGACAAGTTCAGCTATTTATTCAAGAAATAGCTGAATTTAAGACATTTTAAAAAGGCATTTGACAAAAATCCGTACCACTGCTTATAAACTCAATAATGAAATTTTGTAACTGTTAGAGTATACAAAAAAAAAAAATAATAATAAAAATAAAATTGGGTAAACTTTCAAAAACATTGTTGCCATGGAGATTCAAAAATATGCAAATTTGGGCATTTTTAGATGATTTCCTGTTAACAATTCAGATTACTAGAAGTAATTTGTCCTTTCAGAAACAAGATATCCTTATTCCACATGGGTGCAGTTGTAACAGAAAATGAGTCATGCACAACTATGACCTTCTCCTCACTTTGACCATTGACCCCAAGGTCAAATTATTCTGTATTATATATTCTATGTCTAATAATTTCTTATCTAAATCTACATGGTTCTTGATATTTTGAACCTTGCTCAAAATATTTCATACATTGATGCCCAGTGTATACTGTTAGACAATTCAAGAAGATAAATTCATGCTCTACTGTTGACCTTGACCCCAATGGCAAGGTCAGTTAATTAATTCAGGTCAAAGTTAAAAATTTTATCTGTTATGACCTGTTCTTGAAATACATATATTTGAAACATGTGCAAAGTAATGCATCATGAACAACCTTTAGTCAACTCTAAATAATGATGCTTCAACATCAATAATGATTAAAATGACCTTGATGTTCCCTAAAATTTTCCTCCCCTGCACTATGTAAAATTTTAGCCCCATCCATACCTAGAGGTTGACAATCTGAGGGAAAAAAACTAAAATCCAAATAACTTGGGAATCTTTGCAAATTAATTGATATGATTAAGTTTGGTCTTGCTATTCTTGAAAAGAATATCTGAAAATGTGTACAATGTCATGTATTCTCATTTAGTCTCCATTTTAGCCTCATCTTAGCCCCTGGGACCACAATTAGTACACAATGACATCTGCACTATCCAAGAATTCCTTGCATAATATGACAAATCCTGGCTTCGCTGTTTTTATTTTTGCCTGTATACTTTGATTCCCTGTTGTGGTTTCACCTTAAACCCAATGGCTATTATTTGATATATCAGGAAGCTTTCACATCATCTTTTTCTTAAGATTTATGCAAATATAAATGACCCACCCTATTTTTGGCTTTCCCTGATTATCTCCTCTTGGGAAGGAGCTCATCCATTTATTTGAACGAACTTGAAATATGCCCCTTTACTGAAGGATATTCGGTGTCAAGCATGGTCCAATGGTATTTTCAGTAAAGATAAAAATGCAGAAGTGTTTAAGATGATGAAAACAACAACACAAATTTTTTAACAAAAAAGCCCATTAAGTACAGCTATGGTTAATGCCCCTTTGAAAATATCTCCTTCAGTAGTTCCATAAATACACTACTGAAAGCAATTATAGGAGAAATCCAATGAAAAATCTATTTTATTTTCCCCCTCTGCTTATATCATTTAATCTCTTAATTCACATCAGATTGAACTTAAGTCAATGTTTATTTAGACTAAAAATGATTCAACAAAAATTAATTTGACCACATTCATTAAAAACATCCTAAGAGTTGAGCCTACCCCCCCCCCCTTGTTTTTTTTTTTCTAATAAATTAAATGAAAAAAATATAATTTGACCCCTTTGTAAAATCTCCAACGCAATTTTCTTTTTAAGGAGGAGGTTTCTTTAAAGTGCATGAATAATGCTTTAACTTTTGACAACTACTCCTTAAGAAAATAAATAAAATCAGAATGTTCTTCCAAGTCCCCAGTTTTAACTTGGAAAATCTTAAGAACCAAAAATAGAATTTTAGTGGCTACTTATTCTTGCAAGTCCCATTTCCTAATAGCTCAAAAATACAAAAAGAATTTTCATAATTTTTCAAAAGTCATATTAGATCATTTAATATTCAGTTTATACACACATGAGGCTAAAAAACAATACAAAAAGTCCAAGCAAGTCCAAGTTTTGCCTGTGATTTGGGCACATACATGTATTAACTGTCTATATCATCAAAAATACATAACACAAGCAATCCTCCATTCCTTCAGATTCAGTTCTAGGGATTACCGGTATGTGGTTATTAGAAAGATAACTGATTTGGAACATGGTAAAACAAGATTAGACTTGAATAATGGTTCCGATCAAGATATATTTCCTCCAGTGGCCTCTTTAAAGGAACAGGGTGTCATCTTCAACTATCTATAATAGCTGTAAAAATAACAAAAGTTTATGTATTAATACTACTGAATAAGTGGTACAGTAGTAGATTAACACACATGTTCCTCCTATCTTCTGTAAAGGTTGCATTTATGATAAATGCATGTAATTTCCACCATGCTAGTCAATGTTAATAATTATATGTGGCATGAACCAGTTACATATATGTAGACAAGGGAACAATTCAGATAAATGAACAAGCTGCAAAATATATATAGGAGTTCTGGATTCTGGAGTGGGGGTGGGGTGGGGTCAATTTTCATAGACAAACATCACTTAATTCCTCCTTCATCTGTATGACTTAATTCTTTTGACCAAATAATGAGGTCTGGTTTCCTGAAGATGGAGGGGTGGTATGATAATTTTACTGATTACTTTATTATAAACATTTTACAAACTTGGGAATTGTACCCAATAATTCATTTTTGTTTTAATTCATAAGTTTTATTCTCACTTTTACATAATTATATAAATACTCAGACATATCAATTTATAAACTACCAACACATTTTCAATTGTACTTCCTTTCATATAGATTCAACAGAATCCATTGTTTTCTGTAGAATAACTTTTCATTGTGTCAAGTTATATTATTATTTCATCCAAAACTTTAAGGTAAATAAATTTGATGCTATTTTTTAACATTGAAATGGTATCAGTACCATTCCCAATCCATTTAGCAATTGGTAGGAAAAAAACTCATTTGATATGTATGTTGCATTGATTGTATGGAAGATGCAGGAGAAAAAATAAGACTTACACAATGTTTTAGTTTTAATGTGAAATAATATAAAATCTGATTTATAAAAGAGGAATGGGTGAGTTAGAATCACTTTTTTGTGTGGTTAGGGACTTTAGTCTTACCTGCAGTGTGACCCTATGACCTCTTTATACACTGTATATATTCACAAACATCAATCATCACAGACAAATCTCTAATTATTTTGAATATCATTATAGCATTTATCTATCCTTAATTGCATTAAAAGTAATCTAACAACTGCAGAATTAAACATTAATGGTCATATAACAGGTTGCTCACAAGCTGTAGGTACGTTGCATCACTCATGCAATTAAGTGTTTGTATCACGTACATCATGGGAAAGAGAAATGAATCTTTGAGTACCTTCCTAATCTTTAATTTTGCTTTAAAAAGATAAACTTATCAAAAGTTTACCAAAAAAATATACATGAAAAATAAAACATATTCAACTTACCACTATCTGTTTTTGTCCAACTACTCCAAGTTCAGTCCAAGTTGGAAGTTTTCCTTTTTCTCCCGCAATTACTCTATTGTTGTCTGTTTCATTCTTTCCGACCTCCTTTGCTAGAGAGCTCTTGCAAGGGAGGTAATCCAATCGTTTTTATGCCCCCGGATCGAAAGATCCCGGGGGTATATTGTTTTTGTCCTGTCTGTCTGTTTGTCTGTTTATCTGTTTGTCTGTTTATCTGTTTGTTAGTCTGTCTGTTGTCAACTTTAACCTTGCCCATAACTTTTGATTGGTTGGAGCAATGACTTTCATAATTCACATGTGTATTCCCTGTGACAAGACCTTTCTTTGGGTACAATCATATTTGACCTTTTGACCTTGACCTTGGAGTTTGACCCACTTTTGCAAAATTTTATGAGACTTTAACCTTGGCCATAACTTCTGAACAGTTGGTGTTTGGGGTTTCAAACTTCACATGTGTATTCTTTGTGACAAGGCCTTCCTTTGGATACCAACAACTTTGACCTTTTGACCTTGGAGTTTGACCCACTTTTGAAAACTTTAACCTTGGCCATAACTTTTGAACGGTTAGAGCTAGGGCTTTCATACTTCACATATGTAATCCTTGTGACATCACCTTCCTTTGGATACCAACCACTTTGACCTTTTAACCTTGACATAGGAGTTTGACCTACTTTTTAAAAACTTTAACCTTGGCCATAACTTTTGAACGGTTAGAGCTAGGGCTTTCATACTTCACATATGTTATCCTTGTGACAAGACCTTCCTTTGGATACCTACCACTTTGACCTTTTGATCTTGACCTAGGAGTTTGACCTACTTTTGAAAAACTTTAACCTTGGCCATAACTTTCGAACGGTTAAAGCTAGGGCTTTCATACTTCACATATGTAATCCTTGTGACAAGGCCTTCCTTTGGATACCAACCACTTAGACCTTTTGACCTTGATCTAGGAGTTTGACCTACTTTTGAAAAACTTTAACCTTGGCCATAACTTTTGAATGGTTGATGCTAGGGCTTTCATTCTTCACATATTTAATCCTTGTGACATCACCTTCCTTTGAATACCAACCACTTTGACCCTTTGACCTTGACCTAGGAGTTTGACCTACTTTTGAAAAACTTTAACCTTGGCCATAATTTTTGAATGGTTGGTGCTAGGGCTTACATTCTTCACATATGTAATCCTTGTGACATCACCTTCCTTTGAATACCAACCACTTTGACCTTTTGACCTTGACCTAGGAGTTTGACCTACTTTCGAAAAACTTTAACCTATGCCATAACTTTTGAATGGTTGGTGCTAGGGCTTTCATACTTTACATATGTAATTCTTGTGACAAGATGTTCCTTTGAATACCAACAACTTTGACCTTGACCTTGATGTTTTACATACTTTTAAAAAACTTTAACCTTCGCCATAACTTTTGAACAGTTGCACCTAGGGCTTTCAAATTTAACATTTTTTTTATCTTTTGGCCTGGATTTTGTCTTGCATTTGAGAAACTTTAACCTTCGCCATAAGCTGCCATACGGGGGCATCAGTGTTTCACAAACACATCTTGTTCAACAGTGTTTTACAACATTTCATTCAGATATTTTTCTTAAAGTCTTTAGTGTCTACCCAATTTTATTTATTTAATTTATTGAATAGAGAATTCTCCTTCTACAGACATATGTAGAATTTTTTAAAGCTGTCTGAATTTTGCAAACAACATAGCTCTTCATGCAATATAATTCTATAGGTAAAATCTAATAAAAAATCAATTACAAGATAATTTTTCCTTATAAAACAGAAAAATGTATTTCAAAGCACTTTATGACCCACATTATAAAATTACACATGGAGTTTGGATATAAAATACATGAATTATAACAGGATAAGGCAGTCCAAGTATTTCTGTAATAAAATATAGCAAATGCCCTTGTTGCCATGGAAACAAGAGGTCATATGCCTGGGTACGTATATTTTTTTCAAAGACTATTCATATGCATCATGTTCACAAAATTTGAGCTAGAAATAATTTTTTCCACTTTCCATGTTTATATAACATGAAGCTAACATACACATTAAAACGCAAAATTTATTATAAAATCAATTTGTGTTTAAGAAAGACACCTGCAATAACACTAAATGTTATTATCATTTCCTTAAAGATTAGCTTTAAATACATGTCTGTAAAACTACAAATATATACAAAATATACAACATTGTTACATTTGTACATTGATCTCTAATAGAGAGAACTAATATAGGCCATTGCTGTTCAACCCATGTTCATTGTATATCCTATTATGTATATCATGAATAAAATAATTCTTAAATCAAAAATTTTATTTAAAATCTCTTTATTTTTTCAGAGATGGACGCTGGTGAGAAATATATTTTTCTTTATATACGTTTTATTTACTGATCATCAGATCCCCATACGTATTCACTGTATCATTCTTTAAGCTAATATTTTAAACATCATCTATCTGACTACATTAATCTTTATAACTTTATAACTTCAGCACCCCAGAAAAGATTAACGTGTGAGCTTGGAACTGTAGTCATTGCAGGAAACACAGCCGGAGCTATGGCCTGTGCCTCTCACTGCATTTATCTGGGGCACAGAGGTGGTTATTGTGACAGCCATAATATCTGTCATTGTAACTAGGTATGTTCTTTTTTTTCCAATATTTTAATCGTTTGATGTAAATTAATCAGTAATTTGTTTATATTGTAGATCGAGAGGAATAATAAAGAATAGTAAAGAAATAGATGGGGAAAATGATTGCTCTTAAGTAAACAGAAACCATATACATCCTTAACATTTCTTTGTTAAATTTCTCACTTGTGTTCTAATAAAATTGTGAATTTCAAGTAGAATCGATTGTGTGTTTGTACCATCAAGAGCATATGTGTTTCAAACATTCAGAGCAAATTTTGCATAGCTTAAAATACTGCTGACTCCATATTCTATATTTATCTTCTTTACCTTTACAGGTTGCTCATGAAGATCGAAGAACTGTTCCCGTTTTATAAAACACAGTATTTCAATAAATAATGTGTCCAATTTTAGTTTCTTTCTTACGATTCAAATCCATTTAATATCGCCTAGCAGATTGTGTTTAATGTTAATTGTACACTAAATTAATATTATGATGTAAAGTAAAACAATCTTATAACAAAGGCCCAGGGACGGGCGATTTTGCTTCGTTATAAACTTAATTTTTTATATCCATTATCTTCAGAATATGTTTAAAATCCATGGGGAATGAAAATCACTTCGCTATAAGCGTCAATTTATTATAAACCTCTTTGCTATAAGCATGTTGTAATTCGAATGATTACCATTCATTTGCCACATTTTATACGATTTCAATTAAACCGAATTACAGTCTTTTATAATCGCTCTGCCTCAGCATTATATTTTTGTCAAAAAATGAATGATCGCCACAAGGAAGAAAAATAAAATGAAGTTTACTGAATCAAACTGCTGGTGGATTTGATCAATTACTCATTAAATCCAGACACAATCCAAAAACATTCAATTTTCGTCTCAGCATTTATTTATAAATATTTATATTCTCAACTGCATGATAAACACTTTGAAAGTCCACTTTGTTGATATCTTGATCATTTAAATAAAATTTAAAATTTCTCAAGTGAAATCCTACGTAAATCCATCATGGTGTAAATGAATGGCTTATAAATAGACTCATAAAAAAACTTGTTTATCAAATATAAGCAGGTGATATCGAGTTTTATCTTATAACAAATAAATAAATTAAGAGAAATACAATAAGTTTTATGAATTTTAAAAGGAGTATTGGCTTTATTCAAAAACATTTTTATTACTTCCATAAACGTCTGATGAAAAACGTGACCTTGTCGTCCATCTCCGTCAAATGTCGGCAAGAGCTGAGAAATCGTCACCTACACTCTGACCTTATCATCTAAGGCAGACATCGTCTCACATTCTCAGCCCTTGTAATCTGATTTTGTAAACAACGAATATTCCAATTAATATGCTATTTTTCATCTTCACAAACAGATTTTATCACTATTTCTCGATAATACAGTCCGACATTCAGTACGGCGGCGAAGTGATCACGTGTGTGCTTTTCCGCCTGGATCTAGGTTACATCTTTCGTCAAGGCCAAACAAATGATTTTGATTATTATATAAGAAACTCCTTTTGTTGTTCATGTAATGAAGGTTGGTAATTAATAACAGAAATAAACAATCATGAAATTTGTTCTCAAATTTTTGTTGAACTATCTTTTTAATAGTAAATAGTAAAATTCGACTTCATGTGATGGGACAATCGAAATTTACATGGAATACCGAGTGTATTTCTATATTCTATAATAAAAGAAAGTCTTTTCGATCTATATTTAGGCTTTTATTACACACATGAATGTAAATTAAAGGAATCATTGGAATCTAGTTTGTTGGGAATACCAGGGACATCAACGACAGTTGAACACGTGGGATAATTTCTGCATAACGGGCTTTGCCCATTATGCAAATTACTTCACGTTTCCAACTATCGTTGATGCACTGGCATTCCCAACAAACTAGACAGTGATTCCTTAAATATATGCATGGGATATGGTCTATTTTATGATATTTCACCCTCGTGAGTGACAGTGTATATCGCAGTCATTATATGTATAATCGCAGTCGCTGCGCTAAACCTGACGCACTAAAATTTAAGAGCCTACATGTACCCACAGAGAGTTTGCTACCAGTAGAAGTATGTAATTTATGTTCCCCAATTTAAGTATCAGAATTTGTCTTAATATAGAAAGCATAAAATGATAAAATATAATTTAAAGAAAAGAGAACTGATCACGGAATATGCATTGCTGATGAAGACTGGCATGCGAGTGGACTCTTAATCTGTTGTACTGCTTCTTTATCAATAATAATTGTAAAACTCCTGTTTAATCATATACATAAAAAAAGTAAATAATGCATGGTTTGAAAACCACCAACACAACAGATGTCCTTCATTTCAAATATAAACTTGATTTCAGTTAATACTGAAGAATTTTTACTTGCTTTCAAAAAATCGAAAGACATTATATCATTCAAAAAGATTCTTGTCACTATATAAGAATATTCTGTTGTGATAGTGCCATTATAATTTTTGTATGTACGCAACTATGCTTTGGCTGTCCAAAACATTAGTTTGCATTCAAAATATATCATTATATTTCCAGTTACTGACAATATGCACAAAGGAATCTCTTAACTACATATCAACACAATTGTTGCTACATCACATAACCCTGTTTATCAAGTGACTGTCAATTATATCTTTTTCAAGTGTTGCATATAAATTTCCTTCCAGTCGGCGCAAATCCATAACGCAACTTTTATCCACATTTTGATACATAAATAAATTTATTGTATCCTATTGTACAAGAAAAGACCATAGCATTATTATTATATGCAGCAATGCATATAATATTCTTATATAGTGACAAGAATCTTTTTGAATGATATAATGTTGATGTACTTTTGATAATCTCCGGGGAGCCTTAACGTACCTGCGTATTTTCGGAAACTGTTGGCATGGGGCTTTTTTTCATACTAGTGCTTAAGTGTATAAGAATTGTTCCAAGGGGTAATTTCCAGTTTTTATTTTTTAGACATTGGGTCGTTAAACTATACGTTTCGTAGTGTTAAAGAGTTGGGAGGTTTACTTTAGTCCGTAGGGAAAATTTTTAATTCAAAATAGGTTAAAAACAAAGCCGATGCACTATAGATGATAGGGGACAACTAACAACTAAATTTTATGACAAACGAGATGACTTCATCTTTTCAATCGTCAACTTCCCTATTTATGTACCGTAGTAATTGTTCTCTATCAACGGCCTAGGGTGTTTTTGTTCTCAAACTTATTCGATACTCAAGGGCATACTCTGACTACGATCCATTTTTAAAACGAGGCTGGTTACTGACAGATTGGTTGATGTTACAAGGATTTCTCAATAACCTCCGTAAAAATAATTATTTCTTAAGTTCTTCGATCGTTACAATAACATTGTTAGCAATTTTAACATGCCACTGGGTCATATTTTGACTAGAATATTTCATACAAATTGTTAGGGCTTTGGTTTCATAAATTTAACCACTTAATAATCCGTCTAACTGATCAATACATAGGTCACACAGCAGGTGTGATCGGTCGACAGTGGATGCTTACTCGATCCTCGTGGGTACCTGACCCCATCTTTTTAATTCCCGGAGGCAATGTTTTTGAAAATAACCACTGTTCGTTTTCTTTACATTTTTTTGCATTATTATTACTTTATTTTGTTAGGTGAGTACCCCGGGAGACATCCTACCCCAAAACTTTCCTTCTGAATACCTTGAAACTGGTTAAATCTACTCTACAAAACATAATTATACAATCTACTAATATCTGTTTAAAATGTACAAAGCTACTCTTTTATTAAAATTCGTTCAATTTATTTGTCAAGAAATATTTATCCCTTCAAATTTGTAAAGAACATTGTTTTTATCATTGCATACTTGCAAATGACTTTTTTCTGCAAAGTTTCATAATTATTTCATATATATATATATATATATATATATATATATATATATATATATATATATATATATATATATATATATATATATATATATATATATATATATATATATATATATATATTTGTCCACTACTTGGTATATGTAACTTATATAGGTTAACGTTTGACATTTTCCACTCTAATCTGCTGTCAACCTTACATTGTGAACAGTTGACAGTTTCCATTATAATTTACTGTCAACTTTACATTGTTGACAGTTTCCCTTCTTATCTTCTATCGACTATCGACTTCTATCTTCTATCGACAGTTGGTAATAAAGCTCCTTTTCAACCAGGGGGGGGGGGGGTTCGACAGTTCAACAGGAAGCATTTTAATCAAATCGATCAGCAAATTGACACGTGGATCATGGTTAGTCCTTGCTACAATTCGTCTAATTTGGTTTATTCTCGCACCCTATCAAGAAATTGTATTTGACTTATTTTGTTTAGTCTCGCAACAACACGGGATAAGGGTTAGTCCTGACACAATATTCTATTGTATAGGGTTATTCTAGCACCATTCCGAAATATTAACTAAACGTTAGTCCTCGAACACTATTCCGCTTAATTTGGGGTTAGTCTATCGTTTATGACTAAATGTTTTTCTGCGAAAATTGTACTTGTATCAAATGTCAACCTTCAACTCTTCCCGGTCTACACTAGATCATGAAAATGAATATGGAAAGAGTCAACTATAAACCTATCCCTTGTCGACACTAGGACATGAATACAGAAAATGTCAATCATCGACCTATCCCTGACCTATTGGATATTACT